CCTGACAACAAGACCAAGTTGCGACAACGAGGTCAACCCATTTCTATCAATCGAAAGGAGACTGCGACCATACCAGAAGCCACAACATCTTGGTCTTCATATATTCAGACAAATACAAAGTTGGCTTATCAACAATTCCAGCTTAAAAGTATGCCTTGAAAGTGGCATCTTGAGTTGAGTCGTTGGTAGTCGTTGCAAGCCGTGGCTGTCTCGTGGAGACGTTGCTATTGGGAACTTCACGAGTGCGGTCCGGTTTTCACTCCCGTTGGCGGTGCTTATGAGACGAAATTGTGACCAAGCCGATGGGAGGAAGCCTTTTGAGTGGTGGGGCAATGGCATCGTGAGGTAGGGAAAATGTTAATCAAGGACTACTGATTATCTTAAATACTACTTATATCGAAACTAAGACTGCAACAATTTTATTTTATTTTATGGGGCCTTGCCTTCCACTTAGAGTGAATAGATTTCTTATTAAAGTTCTACTAGTGCTATTGAAGCCTACTCGCCGTGAAGGCAAGTTTTATTCTGTAAAAGTTGCTTTCGAGGCTATCGGTGAAGCGTGACTTGTAGCTTTGATCCGCGTAGGACGATGAGGGCAGGATAGTTTAATTGTACCACAATCATGTGAGTGTAGGCCTTGCTTCGCACACAAGGTTAGCCGAATTCGGCCGAGGATGCCCAGTCTCGAGCGAGAAAGTTGGCCTGAGCCCGAATGCACGACTGGAAGCTGGCTCTAACGGTCGGCCTGCCAACCAAGTCCTCCGTCCAAGAGTTGTGGAAAGATGTTCCACTTCAAATTGGCCCGTCGGTCGGTCGCCCAGAGCGTCGGTAGGTACCGAAGCAGCCTCTTGTGTGGGAGGCCGGCCAGAGGGTGAGTCGTCCAATCGCATTTGCGACTTCGTGTCGGCCCAAAAATGCAAACATTTTATGACCAACTTTATGGTCTTTTTCTCACAGCCTCCGCAGCCCCAGCAGACGGTCGTCTTGCTTTTACGCATCTGCAGTCAGGTCGGCGTCAAGGAGCAGATTAGCTCCGGATTGAGCCGACTCTTCCGGTCCCAGACAGTCCAGTCTTGCAGCCGACGAGGGCGGGAAGACTTCGACGAGCCGGACGAAGGCAGCCAACCCGTTCGGACTCGAAGGATTGGCATTGCACGACTCGTGTTGCCTCAGAAACGGGATTCGCGATCTGAACTGCTGCGTCGCGAAGAAGGTGTATCGCGTCTGGCGGCGTTTT